ACTACAAAGCAAGATCGCTGAGATAGTCAGCTTCATGAGGCGCAACAAAATCTCAGTCGCGGCGGTCCAGGAAACCAAACTCCACTCCGGCTCTAGCCTTCAGAGTCAGGATGAGTTCAACGTCATCCGAAGAGACCGCCCTCGCGGCGCCGGAGGCGGCATCGCCTTTATATTGCACAACGCGATCCAATACCGGCTCATTACCCCCCGAATCGCCGCCAACGACACACTCATTGAGCACCAAGGCGTGGCAATCAAGTCGGGAGATACTGAGCTGGAAGTCGTCAACGTGTACATACCACCTGCCACCAGCTGCCCAGCAGGATATCGCCCGAACATAAGTGCGCTACTTGAAGGCGAAAACCGGGTAGTGCTAGGGGATTTTAACGCGCACCACGAACTCTGGCGCTCCAACCTGGGCAACGACCCGCGGGGTACACTAATCGCAGAACAAATTGACGACTCAACGTTTTGCACTGTAAACGCCGATGCCCCCACCAGGGTCGCGGTGGCTGCTACAGCTCGCCAGATATCACTATAGCAAGCGGAGGTCTGATAAATTGCATTGGTTGGCAACCAGTGCTCACGCTCGCATCAGACCACCTGCCCATAGTAGTCGCGATAGACCACCCAAGAGATTTTGTTACATCCGAAGACCGTACGTATATGAACACCAAGAAGGCCAACTGGGACGATTTTAAGGAACACACGGACCGCAAATTCAATGCTCTTCCACCACCAACATGCGCGCGCGAAGCTGAGCACAACATCCGCCGGATCATAAACGCAGCAGCTGCCCGCTTCATACCAGCCGGTAGGATTGCCAAAAACCGCCCGGGCTTTCCAGCTGAAGCGGCGGGACTCGCAGAAGAGCGTGATCGAATCCGCCAGTCTAATCCTGGTGATCCCCGTATCAGGGATCTCAACATGGACATTAACAAACTGGTTAACGAACACAAGCGGAAAACGTGGAATGAGCACCTCAAGACCTGCAATCTCTCCAGCGGAGCTAGCAAACTGTGGACGACAGTAAAATCTCTCTCCCATCCGGCGAAACGTAAGGACAACGTTGCCCTTAAATTCGGCGATAGCGACCCACGGACGTGCGCGCGCTTTTTCAGCCGGCAGTTTATTGCACACCCGGAGAGAGACAAAGCCCGCCTCAGTGTGCTACGTAAAGCACACAAACTCCGCCCCCGAGACACACCAATGTGCTTTACACCAGAAGAGACGCAGGCAGCTGTAAAGAACGCCAAAGCATCCAAGGCGTTAGGGCCAGACGGAATCTCGATGCAGATGCTGAAAAAGCAAGGNCCGGCAGTTTATTGCACACCCGGAGAGAGACAAAGCCCGCCTCAGTGTGCTACGTAAAGCACACAAACTCCGCCCCCGAGACACACCAATGTGCTTTACACCAGAAGAGACGCAGGCAGCTGTAAAGAACGCCAAAGCATCCAAGGCGTTAGGGCCAGACGGAATCTCGATGCAGATGCTGAAAAAGCAAGGACCAGTGGGAGTCGAGTACATCACAGTAGCTTTCAATTTGTCACTGTCCACCCTGATCATCCCTGAGATGTGGAAAATGGGTAGGATCATCCCCCTCCTTAAGCCAGTAAGAAGGCGGACGTAGGAGACTCTTACTGGCCAATCTCCCTCCTATCCCCAGTGGCAAAGACAATGGAAGCACTACTCCTCCCCAGTCTAACGAAGCATCTGCAACTCGCCCAACACCAACACGGATTCCGCAAAATGCACAGCACAACCACTGCATTAAACGCCATCACCACACAGATAAGCGAGGGTCTGAACCAACGTCGACCCTGTGATAGGACGGTCCTAGTCGCGGTGGACCTGTCGAAGGCCTTCGACACGGTAAATCACGCGACCCTTTGCCAAGACGTCGTGGACTCGTCGCTTCCGGATCGGATGAAGCGGTGGATAACCAGCCATCTGTGTGGACGCCAATCATCGGTCGAATTCCGAAACGCCAAGTCCAAGCCGCGTAGGATTAAACAGGGGGTCCCCCAAGGCGGCGTACTCTCCCCGACACTGTTTAACCTCCACATGGCGAAACTCCCTCCGCCGCCAGCAGGGNCGTACTCTCCCCGACACTGTTTAACCTCCACATGGCGAAACTCCCTCCGCCGCCAGCAGGAGTTAACTTGGTGAGCTACGCCGATGATTGCACGATTATGGCGACGGGCCCCAATATTGACAGCCTATGCGGGAAAATCAGCGACTATCTCACCGATCTTGCAAATTTCTTCACTGACAGGAGCCTCACCATCTCCGCCGCGAAATCCACCGCCACACTGTTCACCACCTGGACAAAGGAAGTTAGGGTAGAGCTGGACGTTTACGTCGATGGCAACAAAATACCGACGCTCAACCAACCAAAAATGTTGGGAGTCACGTTCGACAGACTATTCTCCTTTTCTGTGCACGCCTTAGCCACCTGCGAAAAGATGCGAGCTAGGAACAAAGTCCTCAAGTCACTAGCCGGCAGCACTTGGGGAGCCGACAAAGAAACCCTACTCACTACGTACAAAGCAATCGGCCGGTCGGTGGAAAACTACGCAGCGCCAGTGTGGACGGCGGGTACCAGCAGTGGAGAAACTTACAAACATGCTAGAATGCAGCTCTACGCACGGCAACAGGCTGCCATCTCATGTCGTCCGAGCATCACCTCCACCAAGAAAGCCAGATGCTGGCGGTGAAAGAGCACAACACGTTGCTATCGAAGCAGTTCCTCATGGGATGTTACCGTGGAAATCCCCCCCAATAACGCCCTGCTTCGAAATGAACCGCCTCCCCGACATGTCAGACGTTACCTGCACGACTGGAAATCCGACGTCGAGCCGTGCGTAGACCACCCATTCGACGCAGACAAATACAGAGCGGCGCTTAACCACCTACACACCGATGCAGTCAGGTCGAGTCTTAGCACCAGAAACGACAACATCGTTCCAGGTGGTCGACCGCCACCCATCAACATCGACGAAGCCGAACTGCCTAGACAGACCAGGTGCACCCTAGCACAACTCCGTTCTGGGTGGTGCCACAGATCAAACAGCTATCTCTCCCGGCTGAACCCAGAAGTGGCAGACACATGCCCTGCATGCGGGCAAGGTCCACCCAACACCTCTTCGCATGCGCCTCTAACCCCACGACCCTGACACCAGAAGCACTATGGACCGCGCCTATAGACGCTGCCCGCTTTCTCGGCCTCAGGCTTGTCGAGTCAGAGGACGAAGACGACCCTTGACGAAACCCCGGGGGGTTAAGTACTGCTGCTACAAAAACAACAACAACTACTAAAGCTATTCATAGTCGCCTTAGTTTCGACTTATCTTGCTAAGTACCAACTTAAAATTTAGTTTGAGTTGCAGCTGCAACTAAGCTGAAACTAGAGGTAGAAGTATTTTATTAAATTAAGAGAAAATATGAAATGCATCTGTAAAAATTAAGTTGATTGACAGTGATTTTGATAATATTCTCTCCAATTAAAATTTACAAAGAGCGATCCATTTGAATCGGAAGATGAAAGTTTAATGCGTATTACAATTCTAATAAAGCTTCATCACAATCTCATATTTGGAATAATTTAGATAAATTCTTAAATAATAAGTCAATTTCAAGTAGTTCATAACATTTAGATATGTGTTTGTATGTTTATGGCTTTCGATAAACATCGACTTCACATCACTGCGGTTGTTCTGGCTATTTTACACAATTAACAAAAAAATAATACCTTATTCTTTTGCAGAAACAAGCAATGAAAGTAAAAATTACATAAACGGAAGACCACACTTGCCATTTTTACAAAATATCTTAAAGAAAAATCGATACACTTCCACACTCGTTTTGCTATATCGTAAAACTAAGTTAAAACTACTTAGCAGAAGTCTGAAATGCGTAGAGAATTTTAAGTTGGTACTTACATTTAAGTTGCAACTTTATTAGTTTCAACTTAATAGCTGGACTGTATGTTTAAACCCAGATTTTAAAAGCAAAATTTCAAACAAGGCAGTGGCAAACTCTTATGCTGGATTTCCACTAAGCATTAAATGGCGAAAATGACAAATGACAAAGTTGGGCATTAAAAAATATTCGTGTCATTACGTTAAAAAATTGTCATTAAGTTCATTTCCACATGGCATTTTTTTTAAATGGCATATATTTTTTGTCATTTTAATGCCTAGTGGAGATTCGGCATTATCTTCCCGCCATAATTACTTCTCCTGGTATAATTCCACAATGGTTTAAACTCATCTCTTGACTTAAATGCCATTGATAAAATTCTTTTACATATTTCGTCTTAACAGGTCTATTCTGCACGTCACCGATGATTTGTAACCGAAAAATTTTATTAGCAAAAAATGTTACCAGTTGTTGTCACCGCAATTCTAGGTACGTTGGTAATGCAGTTAAAATATTCAGCAATTCAGCTATGAAGATTTGTGGAAATTCTGGCATTGCATATTTGACGAGACAATCTTTTGTTACCAGCTGAGTTGCTGAGATGGTAAGAAAATTTACCGGATACAAGAGTGCACAGAATGCAAAAAGGGTTTAAAAATGGAGAGGAACTTTATTTACCAGTTGCAAAATTTTTGTTACCAGCGCAGAATAGGCCTGTAAATATGATTTTTTTATTGCAGATAAAGGATATTGTATATAAACGCTGAATATACTCTTCATCCATAAGCTGCCGTGTTATTTCACATCTTAACTCACTTGATATCCTCACGTCTAACGGCGGCAGCATTTAGTTGGCGCTTCAACTCTGGTACCGAGAGCACCATGATGTCCCCCATATTCGTTAGACAAAGCAAAGCAACTTCTTGATATAAACGAGCATCGACACTACTTCCTCCGCTAGTGTTGGCATTGATATTAGCTACATCTTGGGCGTTTTCTTGCGTTCGTGTTGGAATAAATTTGGACGGGCTACCACCAATACCATGTGCCAATAACTCAGCTGGCATCGAGCAGGCGAATGATGCAAAATGTATACGTCGTACACGAGCTCCCTCATTAGCAGTTAACTTATATTTGTTGATTGGTTTTAGCTGTGGCAGTGAAAAAACTTTAAATTGTTCTTCAGATGCAATTAACAAACGATGAGGTGGTGAAACCGCACTAATATTCCTTTGCTGGTCAACTGGACAGCCATGCTGGTCGAATATAGCGATACCAACGACAGGTGCGCGATGTTTAAGTTGTATTTCTTTCGCCAGTTGGGCCGACGCCCGACGTGGTTGCAAGGCTGCGTTTGTTGCCGCTGTATTTTCACTCACTGGTAGCATATTAGTAGCGACTGTCTGAGCGGCTGGTAAATGCAACAAAAAAACGGATACTGTACTCGAGTTCGTGGCTGACCATAATGTGGGAGATGTTATGTTCACTGCAATATTCAAAATATTACAAAAAAATTTTAAATTAAATGTAAATTATTTTTAATTTATCTTTACCATTGGTTATAAAAGTTTTGGCGAATTGTAAACAACGGACCATGGAACTCATACCATCGTCTGCAGAACGAGCTTCTACTTGCCGTTCAACGGGTCGCGCTTCCAACTAAAAAAAAAAAAAAAACATGTCAAAAAGTTAGTGATTTTTTAATAGATACAGTCAGTGTTGCCGTTTTGATCTAAATGGATCAAAATGATACGTTTTCCATCGAATTTTTAAAAGATACTTTTATTATTAGCTTAGTATAAATTGTGACACATTTTAATTCACAAGTTGAGGGTAACTTTTTACGATTTTGTGGCAACACATTAAGTTTGTTTTCTTTCATTGAAAATACCACCTTTAATCTGCATATGGCATCACTGTTAGCTACAGACAACTAGCCTGTTCCCGTACTCCAGGATTTAGTCCGAAATAGTCTGAAGTCGTTTCCTTTCACACATTTATCATATATTTTTCGAACAATTTCTCACTAAATCATGGAGTGCGGGAACAGGCTAATATTGTCGTTCCTTTTCCTTTTTGATTTTGAAGGTGTCGGATGTGGTACTGGGCTAAAGCCAATGTCACAGGATTGGTACATTTGTACAGATTTGTACATTTTGGCAGTCACAGAGTGGTGTTCTTTAGAAATTTGAGTTCAGCTCAATAAAAGAATTTCCAAACAACACTACTCTGTAACTGCCAAAATGTACAAATCTGTACAAATGTACCAATCGTGTAACACTGCCTAAAGAAATTCATCTAGAGTAATCCAGTAAGTATTGTGAAAATTACTTTTATGTGTTCACAGTGTTAAACACCAATTTGATATTTGATTTTAGTTAAGTATGCAAATGAACACAACTGTTACCGAGTATAAAGCTTTATTTTCACTCTGTATTTTATATAAAAACCAAATATTAATGAAAACTGTCAACGATCTCAATTAAAAATGTAAACTACCATTTTCATTTAAGAATTAGAAGTTTTATTGAAGATTGATACTTAAAATTTTGTCCAGGGCACTTTTGATCCATTTTAGGGAATTTTGGTGATACATTTCTTCTGAACTCCGCGGTAACACTGGATACAGTTTACTTCAAGAAAACATCATACTTGAAAAATTGGAGAGTACAAATTTTACTAACGGAAAAAATATGAATTTTTTAGTGATTCCGTAATACTGGTATGTATCCGTGAATGGTATGATTGCAATCATTTTCCACTCGTCAAAAATGATTGGTGAGATAGCAGTAGGCATCCCACGATCGAATACAATTGAAAGCAGCTGCCTGTGGTGAATTTGTCAAAAAGCAGAAATTGATCTGTGGGCATTCGTAAATTAACTGCTGGTTGTTACAATTTACTTTAAAATTAGTAAATAAGGGGATTCTCGAACTCTTGCAAAGCCCTTGCATGGTGCACTGATTGATAAGCTTTCCCCTAGGAAAAATAGGTTTTACTATTAGTCCAACATATGCTATATATGTATGTATACTAGACCGTTCATTAAAAAAAAATTTTGGCCTGGCGGAAAAAGGTGTATTTTGCGTTGCATTTGAAAATTTAGAAAACCATATGCATTCAGGCAAAATACATTGAAAATCGTGAATTTTATAGTAATTTGTTATGTAAAATAGCTCGCAGAATCTGAACATGAGGTCAAAAATAAAAAAAGTAGAATAGGTGTTAAGAATTTGCAAAATTATGGTTTTTTTTTTTCAAATTGAGAAAACAGCATTTTCAATTTTTTACAAAAATAGCCGGTTTTTATTATCACTATGAATTTTTTAATGATTCCGTACTACTGGTATGTTATCCGTGAATGGTATGATTGCAATCATTTTCCACTCGTCAAAAAATGATTGGTTAGATAGCAGTAGGCATCCCACGATCGAATACAATTGAAAGCAGCTGCCTGTGGTAAATTTGTCATCAGTAAATTAACTGCTGGTTGTTACAGTTTACTTTAAAATTAGTAAATAGGGGGATTCTCGAACTCTTGCAAAGCTCTTGCATGGTGCACTGATTGAAAAGCTTTCCCCTAGGAAAAAATAGGTTTTACTATTAGTCCAACATATGTTATATACAGGGACCGCAAATAACGATTATCCTTTGAAATTTCAACTCAAAAAATCACGCGGAAAGAGAAATTCTACGTGCATAAGGAGTAAACCAATATATTTCTTATTACTCGGAGTACCTTCAGCGGCACTGATTTTTATTTTTTAATTTTTGCTTATAATCAAGTTTAATCATTATATTTTGAGTTTTATTTTTTACTCAGAAAATAATCGTTATGTTTTGAGTTTTATTTTTTGCTTCTTGGGCGTTTTCTTGCGTTCGTGTTGGAATAAATTTGGACGGGCTACAGCCAATACCATGTGCCAATAACTCAGCTGGCATCGAGCAGGCGAATGATGCAAAATGTATACGTCGTACACGAGCTCCCTCATTAGCAGTTAACTTATATTTGTTGATTGGTTTTAGCTGTGGCAGTGAAAAAACTTTAAATTGTTCTTCAGATGCAATTAACAAACGATGAGGTGGTGAAACCGCACTAATATTCCTTTGCTGGTCAACTGGACAGCCATGCTGGTCGAATATAGCGATACCAACGACAGGTGCGCGATGTTTAAGTTGTATTTCTTTCGCCAGTTGGGCCGACGCCCGACGTGGTTGCAAGGCTGCGTTTGTTGCCGCTGTATTTTCACTCACTGGTAGCATATTAGTAGCGACTGTCTGAGCGGCTGGTAAATGCAACAAAAAAACGGATACTGTACTCGAGTTCGTGGCTGACCATAATGTGGGAGATGTTATGTTCACTGCAATATTCAAAATATTACAAAAAAATTTTAAATTAAATGTAAATTATTTTTAATTTATCTTTACCATTGGTTATAAAAGTTTTGGCGAATTGTAAACAACGGACCATGGAACTCATACCATCGTCTGCAGAACGAGCTTCTACTTGCCGTTCAACGGGTCGCGCTTCCAACTAAAAAAAAAAAAAAAACATGTCAAAAAGTTAGTGATTTTTTAATAGATACAGTCAGTGTTGCCGTTTTGATCTAAATGGATCAAAATGATACGTTTTCCATCGAATTTTTAAAAGATACTTTTATTATTAGCTTAGTATAAATTGTGACACATTTTAATTCACAAGTTGAGGGTAACTTTTTACGATTTTGTGGCAACACATTAAGTTTGTTTTCTTTCATTGAAAATACCACTGGTACTGGGCTAAAGGCAATGTCACAGGATTGGTACATTTGTACAGATTTGTACATTTTGGCAGTCACAGAGTGGTGTTCTTTAGAAATTTCAGTTCAGCTCAATAAAAGAATTTCCAAACAACACTACTCTGTAACTGCCAAAATGTACAAATCTGTACAAATGTACCAATCGTGTAACACTGCCTAAAGAAATTCATCTAGAGTACTGCATTACTAGTATTGTGAAAATTACTTTTATGTGTTCACACTGTTAAACACCAATTTGATATTTGATTTTAGTTAAGTATGCAAATGAACACAACTGTTACCGAGTAGAAAGCTTTATTTTCACTCTGTATTTTATATAAAAACCAAATATTAATGAAAACTGTCAACGATCTCAATTAAAAATTCAAACTACCATTTTCATTTAAGAATTAGAAGTTTTATTGAAGATTGATACTTAAAATTTTTTTCCAGGGCACTTTTGATCCATTTTAGGGAATTTTGGTGATACATTTCTTCTGAACTCCGCGGCAACACTGCATACAGTTTACTTCAAGAAAACATCATACTTGAAAAATTGCAGAGTACAAATTTTACTAACGGAAAAATTTGAATTTTTTAGTGATTCCGTAATACTGGTATGTATCCGTGAATGGTATGATTGCAATCATTTTCCACTCATCAAAAATGATTGGTGAGATAGCAGTAGGCATCCCACGATCGAATACAATTGAAAGCAGCTGCCTGTGGTGAATTTGTCAAAAAGCAGAAATTGATCTGTGGGCATTCGTAAATTAACTGCTGGTTGTTACAATTTACTTTAAAATTAGTAAATAGGGGGATTCTCGAACTCTTGCAAAGCCCTTGCATGGTGCACTGATTGAAAAGCTTTCCCCTAGGAAAAAATAGGTTTTACTATTAGTCCAACATATGTTATATACAGGGACCGCAAATAACGATTATCCTTTGAAATTTCAACTCAAAAAATCACGCGGAAAGAGAAATTCTACGTGCATAAGGAGTAAACCAATATATTTCTTATTACTCGGAGTACCTTCAGCGGCACTGATTTTTATTTTTTAATTTTTGCTTATAATCAAGTTTAATCATTATATTTTGAGTTTTATTTTTTACTCAGAAAATAATCGTTATGTTTTGAGTTTTATTTTTTGCTTGGAAAATAATCGTTACGTTTTAAGTTTTATTTTTTGCTCGGAAAATAATGGTTACGTTTTAAGTTTTATTTTTTGCTCGGAAAATAATCGTTACGTTTTAAGTTTTATGTTTTGCTCGGAAAATAATGATTACGTTTTAGGTTTTATTTTTTGCTCGGAAAATAATCGTTATTTCTTGAGTTTTATTTTTTGCTCAGAAAATAAAACTTAATTTTTGCGTATGCGCATGCGTGAATAGACAGGGGGCGGCTGCATTGAACCTTTAACGCCACTGTGGAGTGGGTAATGAAAATACAGATACCAGGGCAGAAACAAAGAGAACCACATTTCTAAAGAAAAAGTGCAAAAAAGCGCATACGCATAGGCAAAAATTAAGTTTTATTTTCTGAGCAAAAAATAAAACTCAAGAAATAACGATTATTTTCCGAGCAAAAAATAAAACTTAAAACGTAACGATTATTTTCAGACCAAAATATAAAACTTAAAACGGAACCATTATTTTCCGAGCAAAATATAAACTTAAAACGTAACGATTATTTTCC